CCATGCAAAAGCCAGACCACATTTTCCTGGGGCGACGGGATCTGCTGTCATTGGCGTAAAAACTCCCTGTGCTTGCACTTTCTGCAGAGGGTGACCTGTGGCCTTCCCTCAGTTTTAACCTTTTCTGCACATCTCGGCTGTTGGGATGGGGGCTGGGATGCGGTCTACCCCCCAGGGCACTCCTCTGTCCCCTGGGCAAGGGGCTGTAGGGTGCAGGTGGGGTTGGGGGGACCCTCATGGGGGTCTTTGCTCCTTGCCCTGACAAAAGCCACCTCTCTCTTTCCCCAGCACCCTGGACATCTTCCCTACGCTGGTTGCCCTGGCTGGGGCGGCTCTTCCCCCGAACCGGCGCTTTGATGGCTTGGACGTGTCCCCCGTCCTTTTTGGGTGGTCGGATGTAGGGCACAAGGTAAGGCAGAGCCACCTCACCATGGTGGCATCCCCTTCCTGACAGCGGGTCCCACCGCCTCGGAGCTAAAACAGGTACATTGAGGGGGAAAGGCTCAGAGCTGGGGATGTGCGGACCCCCTGGAGCATTGGACCCCCGGGAGCATCATCCCCATGGCCTGGAGGAGGGCAACCAAGGCCAGGCCTGGGGTACTGAGGTGAAAGGGTTTTGGATTAGCGAAGAGAAATGCTCCGAAATGTGGGTTTATAGGTGAAAACGCCCCCGCGTGCAGCCTGGCGTGCCTCCCTGTGCGCCGCCAGGGCTGTGCCCGCTGGCCCGGGGGATGCTCGGGCTTGCCAGCCCCGCGGCACCCAGCATGGCGCGTCTGCTTGCCAGTCCCAACAGGCACTGGAGTGGGGGAAAGGAGAGATCCCAGGAGCTCAGACCCAGTGATATCCACTTCATTTATCGTGCCAGATGGAGCCCTTCTCCCAGCTCCATGGTGGGGATCGTGCCTGTTACTGATGTTCAAGGGGGCCACCTATCCATACTCCACATCTCTTAGGCCTAAAAATCGCAGTGAGCAGCACAAGCAGTACGGCAATGCCTTTTTTCTCGGGGTTGCACAAGGTCTTTGCAGAACCAAATGAAAAATAAAGGAAAAAAACAGTGGCTTTAATAGCAGTCCCTCAGATAAAGCCCGATGTTGCTTTTAGAGCGCAGCCTCCTGCGAGCACTGTGTGCCAGCGCCCAGCGGGGATCCTGGGTTTGCTTTCTGCGTCCATCAGGGGTTTGGTATTTGGTTGGGATTTACGGAGCCCTCTAACGGTGGGGTGAAGCGGGGAAGCAGATGGGATTCGGCCAGCGATGGGATGCAGCCAGCGTGCTCCGCTGTGCTCCTCGGGATTAACCCTCCTCTGTGTGCATGGTGCTGAGAGGGGCGGACTGGCAGCTTGCTGGGAATGATGGTTTGCTGGGACCCATGGTTTACTGGGAGCAATGGTTTTCTTGGAGCAATGGTTTGCTAGGAATGATGGTTTTCTGGGAGTGATGGTTGGCTGGGAGCAATGGTTTGCTGGGAATGATGGTTTACTGGGAGCCATGGTTTGCTGGGAATGACGGTTTGCTGGGAGTGGTGGTTTACTGGGAGCAATGATTTACTGGGAGCCATGGTTTACTGGGAATGGTGGCTTGCTAGAAGCAATGGTTTGCTGGGAGTGATGGTTTCCTGGGAGCGACGGTTTGCTGGGAACAATGGTTTGCTGGCAATGACGACTTTCTGGGAGTGGTGGTTTACTGGGAGCAATGATTTACTGGGAGCGATGGTTTACTGAGAATGAAGTTTTCTGGGGAGTGATGGTTTGCTGGGTGCCGGCTCCAGCCGTAACTGCGTGTTTCAGAGTGAGGAACAAAGCCCTGAGCTGTGAGGCACCACCAGCTCCCCCAGGACCACCCCAGCCCTGTGTTTTTTTGGGGGGTTTGTGCTGCAATCAGGGGTGAATTCATCCCTGTGGGGCCGGGAGGCATAGCTGGGTTGTTCCATGCTCCTTAAATATGCAGTAAATGGTAATAGATTTTCTTAGTGTGGGGTTTTATGAGGCAGGTTTGGTCACGGGGGAGGTTTGGGTGCCTTTACACCAAGATGGCAGCATCCCTGTGCCACTAAAGGTGACAGCACTGGCAACAGGCAGAGCTTTGGGGCTGGAAGCAGACGAATTGGTTCAGTTCCTGGTATCTTGGCATCATAAGCCCTTGAATATTTGCTGATTTCTACTTGAGTATTTGCTGATTCCCACCCCAGAGCCATTTCATTCTGACCAAGGATAAAGGGACTTTATAGCAGGGGTTTCCTCCTCGTAGCAGGCTTACCCTGCACCACCTCTTCCACTTGCCAGCCTTCATTTTTTACCCTAAAACACGATTTTTCAGCCAAAATCCAGAAGGTGATTTTTTTTTTCTTAACTTGCCTTGCAACAGAGGTCAATTGAGGAAACCGAGAGCATTTGGAAATCACCCCCTGCCCTGAATCCTGGCATTTCGGGGATGAGTTACCAGCTGCCCGTGCAGCGTGGGCTGGAGCGGGATGCCCGGGGGTGCTGCGTGCCGGGACAGGGCTCTGCGCCGGGCACCTGCTACGGCCTCACCGCCCCCATCAGCTGCAGACGCCGTTACTAAACCTGACCCTGGAGCCGCCTGCAGCTCGGGCAGATGTTTCTCATTTTTTAGCGCAGTGGAAATTTCTTGAATCACTTTTAAACTCCGTTCCCAGGGAGGAAACCTCGGGTGATTCATCCCTCACTGAAGCCATTGGCTCCGGGGCAGATTTTTATCCGAGCGCCCGCTGACCGGTCCAGCTCACTTGTCTGCTCCTTCCCGTGTGCCGAAGCCGCCGTCCTGTGCGGATCGTGTGTCCTAAATACCGAAAGGGAGAGCTGTGACCCACCCTTTCCTCCCTTCTCGCCCCCATTCCCGGTGTTGTTAGGGCAGGGAGCTCTGGGGTGAGTCAGTGCGGGATGGCCCGGGGGGATGTTCCAGCACCTCACCTACCCCTGCAGCCTCTGCTCTGCTGAGCTCACCCATGGATTTGGGGTTTCTGGGAGCCCCCACAGCAATTCAGCTCCTTTGGATGTCCCTGCCATCAGCTGAGCTGTGGGCACCGACGGGGGTCTCAGTGATGGGTGACACAGAGCACCTGTCCCAGCTCTGAAATATTCAGCCCTGCTTTGCTGATAGTCCCTGCACCTTCGTGGATCTCTTCCCTCCAGCAGAATTGGGCAGGGGAGGTAAATTCGGGGGGTCCTACGTGCACTAGGGATGCTGGTGTTTCCCGGTGCCTTTTTGCTGTCCCCCCGTGTGGCACCCACAGGAGCCTTTGGCCAGCAAAACGCGGTTGGTTGCTGAGTCCATGGTGCGCACACGTGGGCCGTGGTCTCAGAGCAGGGTTTCTCTGAAGAGGCTGATGGACTCTTTGCTGTTCTCCCTTCAGGTTCTGCTCCACCCCAACAGTGGGGCAGCGGGGAAGGACGGGGAGATTGAGACGCTGCGGCTGGCTCAGTACAAGGCATTTTACACCACAGGTACTGCGTCCCTTCTAGAGATGGTAAAGAGTGGGGAAAAAACCTCCCAAATCCTTGGTTCCCTGCAGTTCCAGGTCAAAATCAGTTCGGGTTGGTTCAAGCAAGAGCAAACCCAGTGAAGAATCGACGTGTGTCCTATGATGGGCTTTGCAGCTGGGGTTTTTGGCCTCTTGGACAGCAGGACCTGGGCACCCAGAGCTGGGACATGGTGGGACTGGGCCATCGCAGATGGGTGAGGAGCACAGAGGTGATCCCCGGTGTTTTTCTCATTTCCCCCCTAGGAGGGGCGATGGCTTGCGACGGGAGCGTTGGGCCAGCGCAGCATCACCACCCACCCCTCGTTTTCAGTCTGGATCGCGACATCCAGGAGCAGGAGCCTTTGGATGCAGCGTCCAGGGAGTATCAGGCAGCGCTGCCCGCGATCAGCAGGGCTTACACCCGAGCGCTGGAGGACATCGCTACGGACAACATCTCGCTTGCGGATTACTCCAAAGACCCGGCCGCGACGCCCTGCTGCAATGCCCAGCACGTGGCCTGCCGATGCCAAGCGCTGGACCACGGCACGGGAAGAAGAGCCCCGTGGCTTTGTCTTTAAGCAAATGATTGCTCAGGCTGCTCCTTTCCCCGGTTTGTGTGCACGGGAATGTGGTGTGTGCTGGCTCCAGGCTGGACCGTGGCCCTGGGGGACAGGGGTGGAGGCTGAGGTGCCCTTGGCTCCGTGCTGCCAAGTGGGGAGGTGAATTCATGGTGGGTCTGTGAGCACACGGAGGGTCCCCTTTGCAGAGCAGGGCACTGGTGACTCTAGGCACATGAAAGGGCTTTTTGTCAGGCTTTTTAGCTGAGAAAGAGTCAGGTCTTGCATTAAAACCCCCTTCTGTGAGAACTGGCTTTGAGAGAGGATTCCTCTGGGAAATTCGCTTGGCTTTCCTCTAAAACGGACCTTACAGGAGTGGGATGGTGGGAGCAGGAGGCAGGGGAGGATGGGGCTCACAGCGTCTGAGCAAATGTCCTGGTGCTGAGACCCTGGTGGCTGCAGAGAGAAAACTCCCGACCAGCACAAGGTGAGTGCCCTGGGAAAGGGAGCACCTGCCCTGCAGCTGCCAATTGAGGTTAATTAACGGGGTTTCGTTAAAGACCCAGCTGTCTATAAAAGGAAGAGGGTGCTGGGCTCTGTGTGATGGTTGCTCTCCTTGGGGACAGGGTGCTGGGGTTGTCCTGTGGCTGCTGTGCCCACAGCGTGGTCAGGGATTGTGCTGAGAGAAGCACCCAGGTCCTGGTGTTTGGAAAGGGCTTTTTTGGGAAGGTGTGGGAGAGGGATGTGCACTGCAGAGCTGGGGCAGCTGCTCCCCAACAGCTCTGTGTGGAAAGACCAATGGGGCAACCTTAGCCCCTCCGCAACTCCCTGAAAGGAGGGAGTAGCAAAGGGGGGCTTTGGTCTTTTCCCCCAAGTAACAAGCGATGGGATGAGAGGAAATGGCCTCAAGTTGTGCCAGGGGAAAGTTAGATTGGATATGAGGAAAAAATTATTTACTGAAAGAGTGGAGCACTGGCAGGGGCTGCCCAGGGCGGTGGCGGAGTCTCCATCCCTGGAGGGTTCAAAACGTGTGGATGTGGCACTTGGGGACATGGTTTAGTGGCCATGGTGGGGCTGGGTTGATGTTGGTGTTGGTGATCTTGGGGGCTTTTCCCACCTGAATGACTCTGTGGTTCTGTGAACTGGGCTTTATTTCAGAGAGGTGGTGACCCAGCAGATCAGGCCTGCAGGCAGACGCTGCTCCTGCCCATCCCAGTGCAGCACTGGGGAGTGAAACTGCTCAGACGGGGCATTTCTGGGCAGATGCAAAGGCCAAACCGAAGCTGCAACCGAAACTTCAGAAACCACCGGGACTTCTCAGCAGCTGAGCGAGGCTTTTCTGAACCAATTTTGGCCTCCGATTTACGCACCCCGGTTTCTCTTTGGCCAGGTGGGTGGGTGGTGGAAGCAGCTGCCCCCTCCAGCCCCCCAAATCCACTGTCCCCCTCCTAAAACTGAATCAAGGCTGACATCTTTAGGGCCCCACAAAGAACAGCAGGAGCCAGGGACAGAGCGTGACTTTATTCTGTCTTTAACCATAGCAAACGGCTTCTTCTCTAACATCACTGCAAAAATACTTTGCCTGGGTAAAATAGTATGTATATACTGTACAAAGACATAAGTTTAATATATATCTTCCTCTAAGTACATTTATACACACAAACCGGCATAAATTAGAAACGGGACAAACGGGTATATAAAATTCTGGTTACATACAAATCGGATTAAATTAGCATTTACACTGTGGTTCTAACATAGAGTTTGTTAAATATAGCAATGTGCATACAGTACATGGACACCCCACCAGACACGAATTCAAACAAGGGGCTAGCGGGGCCAGGTATTCACCGAAACGTTTTCACGTAGGAAAAAGCAGTGGCCCACCTTAGGTTTTCTATTTTATTTCCTCGGCTTGGGGACTCACAAATGGGTTCTTCGAAATTCGTGGCTTTGCCAAAGCTCTTCCCAGCAGTTCTCCTCCGCGCGGATGCGTGCTCCTCGTCAGGACCTCTTGGCGTCGCCGGGCTGACCTCCGTGGCACAAGATGATCTACCAAAATCAAAACAGAATGGCCTTACTTTTCCCAGCAACGGGGCGCGTTTCGGGTCGGTTTTACGCACACAGGAGGAGAAGGGGGAGGGATGTCCCGCCGTGTTTGACGGTGAGCGGTTTATTTATTGACTCTTCCCCCTCCCCAAATTTACAGTCCTGGGAACCATCTGGCTCGGTGGGAAAAGCCTTAGGCTGAGCCCAGCCACGCTTGCAGGAGTTCAGGTACCGGGGGTAAAGTCATTTGCCTGCCTAAATCCTCCCAAAAAACTTCATCACCTGGCACAGCAGAGTGAAACACCTCCCTGTTAGACGGGGTGAGGTGAGGGGAACCACGAGCAAAACCTGTGAGTAAAGCAGGCGCAGAGAAGCACAGGCAGCAGCGAGGACCCTGAACCACTTCACATTGGTTACCTCACAGCACAGGACCAGGGGTGACACGTGCACCTACTTCTGGATGGGTCCTGCTGCAGCACCCGAATTGGGCGCCTCTGCGGACACCAAGCAGCAGCTGCAGCCCTGCCAGCCCTGCCCTGTGTCAGTGCAGATGTGATCCCCGCAGCTGCTCCTCCCGGGATCCATCTCTCATGGGCTTCGGGACCGGCACTTGCTCAGTTTTGAGGCGCAAGCGTTGGCGCTGGATTGCACGTTTCCCAAAGGACCTCAGATTGGTAAATTGGGCTGAATCCTGCACGCCCCAGCTGCCCAAAACGCCCGTCTGAGCGAGCAGGGCAGGAGCTGGAAGAAGAGGTCAGTCAGGTTCTGCCAAACTTGCTCATCCCCTGTGACACATCATTATTCGGAGAGCTTCCCTGCAAAATCTGTCGCCTTTCCTCTGCTCACAGCCAGCTGTTAAAGACAAAAAATCACTTAAAATCATTAAAGTTCCATATCCATGTAACAGAACGAGTGAAACACCGTCCAGCAACCAGGGAGGAGGTGCTGGGGCAAACACTGGTCCCGTGGAGCTGAGGATACAGCTCCAGCCTGGCTGCTTGTGCTAAGATCCATGGTTTGGAGCAGCGGGGATGAGGGGGACCCCACGCTGGGGCACCCATTTATTTCTTCCCCCTGCTGCCAGGGCGGGGATGTCAGGCTGTGAGGGCAGCTGTGGAGCAAGGCAGGGTGCCCAGGTTTGGAGACAGCCAAAAATCAACGCGAGAGATGGTATCTAAGAGTGTATCAGCGAGGGAAGCTGTCTTTGGAGAGCTGGCTGCTGTACCCAATCCAGCCTGGCTTCATGAAGTGGCTCTCCTGATGAAGCTTTCGCATCAACTCAAGTCCTGAAGCTTCAGCGAGCAGCCAAATGCAGGATAAATCACATCTTCTTGGAAAAACATCCCTGGTGTGCATTCCCCGGGTCCACACAGCAGTTTTGCTTGCTGAATCCCATAGGATTTCTCCTGTTCCACCTCACAGCACCACCCCAAACTGTTCTGACCATGGGAGGGCCCCTACGGCAGCTCCCAGAGCGGAGCTGGCCAAGAGGTGCACACACCAAGAGCTCCCAGCACCACTGGAAACCTCACTGACACCAATAAAACCCCAATGAGTGGCAGCCGTGCAGGCAGGTAACCAGAAAACAGCCATAACCGTGCACCCGTTTGCAGCCAGAGCTGGGTTTGCTCATCCCATCCCCAAAACCTCCTGAGCACGCAGAGCAAGGGTGACGCAGCCTCCTCCCAGGCTCCAGCACGGCCCCTTCTCCTCACCTGGGGCTTAGGGTTGCCGTCCATCTCAGTAACACCCAAATCCACACTGCGTGAGGGCAACAGCGGACCCGACAGCGTTTCAGCCGCCCCATCGATGCGAGGGACGTCACTGAACTCGATCACCCTCTTGCCGCAGGGTCGATCCGGCGCAATCAGCAGCACCATCCACACTCGCTTGCATCGAGGCCGCTTTTTCCGAGCCCTCCTTGTGCTTCTCATGTCCTCGCTGATCCGTCCCTCCTTCCCTTTAATGGAGAGGCAGTTGTCTGCAGTCAGCGACGGGTTTTGCGTTAGAATGAAGCTGCTTTTCCTCGCTCTCAACAGCGGAGCCTCTGAAGTCTTGCTCGAGGTCAGGGGAAGGGAAGATGGTTCAAAATGGAGAGGAAATGCTGGGTCTGAGCGCTGCTGTTTCTCCAGAAACGGGTCTGAAGTTCAAAGCCGTGCTCGTGGCGTGGGCTGCGGGCGAATATTCCATTTTGTCACAAGTTTTGAGGTTTTATTTTCAATGTCTTTTTTGTTACTCGCTGGAAAACAAACACAACCCTTCCCGTGTTTCCGCAAAGCACAACGCTGTCAAAACATTTTTGTTGGATAAGGTCAGGTTTTTCTCTCTCTCGTTCTCCGCACAGAAGTGACCGATGCCTGAAACCCCCCTCGAACGCCTCACTGAGACCCAACATCTCCGCAGTGAGAAAACACCAAAGCTCAGTGAAATCCAGCGCACCGAAACACCCCGACCGACGCAGAGCAGATGCAAAGCGCGTTCCCATCAGCAAAAGAGGGGGCAAACCCGCAGCCCTATATCTGCAAAGACTTGATCAGGAAGCTCCGAGGGCTAAGCCACCGTATCAGGGAGTATTTTAGGAAAGCGCCGTCCCTCCCACACCACCTCCTCGCTAACGTTACCCGTGTCGGTCGCTGTGGCAGGTTAATGACAGCACAGGATCTGGATGGATCAAAGTGGGTTTAATGAAGCTCTCGCTGGTGTGCAGCAGGGGTTTGGGGCTGCTTTTACATGGCATAGCCCCAGCGGGAAGGTGCATTCAGGAGCAGCCTGATTCCCGCTGGATGGTGTTTGCTTGTCCCCAGCCTGCGTGTTCAAGCTCAGGGGAGCAAAGGATCCAGGTCCCTGGGCCACCAGCATCTCCAGGGCCACACGGCTTTAAATGCCCTTCTTGGGGAATGGAGCAGGACAACTGAAAACCCCTTTTTCTCAGTTTGCAGCGGGTTATTTTGCAGGTAACAAGGCAGAACTGGTCT